TGTAATTAGTGGTTTTCTTCTCTCGGGCTTATCCTTCTGCCCACAACTTCTTGTTGTATATGCTTTTTTATTCTAATCATAAATTGTGTTGCTGATAAAAGAAGGGTTTAATAAAAGGATGGAAAGTGGGGAAGGATAGGGTAGTGGTAACACACCTACAATTTGCAGATGATATAATAATTTTTTGTGAGAATGAGTGAGATGAAGGTGCTAGTAACCTAAGGAGGTTAGTCTACTTGTTTGAGAAAGTGACAAATTTGAGGATTAATCTCAACAAAAGTGTGGTGGTTGGGGTTAACTTAAGAGCAAGGAGTGATTGAGAGGTGGGTAGGGGAAATGGGATGTTTAACAAGTGATTGTCCTTTGAAATATTTAGGACTCCCACTAGGTGCAAACCCTAGATCCGTTGACTTTTGGGCCCCAGTAGTGGAGAGATTTGAAAGGAAACTTGCCGGGTGGAAAAGGAATTACATTTCTCTGGGAGGAAGGATCACTCTTATCAAGTCTATTTTAGCAAACCTCCTTGTGTATTATTTATTGGCGTTCGGCATGCCTATGGTTATTGTTAAAAAATTAGAAAAAATAATGAGAAATTTTCTGTGGGAACCAGGAGAGACCAAGAGAGGTAATCTAATTAGATGGGAAGTAGTGTGCAAGAGGAAAGAAAGTGAAGGACTGGGTTTAGGGAAGTTGAAGGAGAAAAACTTGGCCCTTTTAGGAAAGTGGTTGTGGAAATTTCTTCTGGAGGTAGATAGACTATGGCATAGGGTGATAGCCAGCATTCATGGGCTCTCAGAGAATGGGTGGGGTGCTGGAACCTCTAGCCGAGCTTCTAGTGTATCACCATGGAAATCAATCCAAAAGCATATTCCTAGTTTCCTCACTCATATCAGGTATGATCTCAACTCAGGGAACAAAATAAGGTTTTGGGAAGATTTGTGGGTAGGGGAGGTGCCTCTGAAGGTCTCCTTTCCTTCGTTGTATGCTCTCTCTTCTTTCAAGGGTAAACCCATTTCAGATTTCTTAATCCCCTCCCCTTCTCTATTTGGGTATGGGTGGAGCTTGGGCTTTCGCAGAAATGTTAGGGATTCTCACTTCTCAGTTGGATTTGGTGTCAAACCTTGTGCAAATGCTTGATGGGGTCTTTTTAGATGATAGCAAACAAGATTGTAGAATCTGGTCCTCTCACCCATCCGGTGTTTTCATCTGTGCTTCCTTCTTTAAAGTTCTGGTATCCTCTGATTCTGTTCACTATTCTTTTCCAGTTAAAGAAGTGCGGTGTTGTCCTATCCCTCCTACAGTGAGTGCATTCTGTTGGGAGGTCTTTCATAGTGCAGTTAACACAGAGACCTGGTTGGTGTCTGTCCCCGAACTGGTGCTATCTATGTGAGTCAAACGGTGAGACTGCCTATCATATGCTGATTTCTTGTCCTATGCTAACTGTGTTTGGGAGTGAATTTTCTTTCTTTTTGGGTGCAGGTGGAATATCCCAGAGAGTTTGGACAGGTTGTTTGATGCTTCTACTTTCAGATGGCCAAGAAAGAGGGGTAGGATATTGTGGAGATGCACAAGGGCAGCTGTGCTGTTGTCCCTGTGGGAGGAAAGAAATTTGAGGATATTTGAAGGAAGAAAAAGGAGCAGAGAAGCATTGATAGATGGAATTACAGCCAAAGTGGCTTTCTGGATTAAATCCTTGAAACTCTTTCTCTGATTTTACATACGATGATCTGATAAGGAGATGGAGAAGTATTGCAGCACTGCCCTCTTCTAAGAAGAAAACTACAAGGGAATTGACTCCCCCCAGAAAGTGGGACTGTTAAAATGAATTTCAATGGAAGTAGCTTTGGTAACCCAGGCTCATCTGGTATAGGAGGGGTGTTCAGAAATGAAAGGAGGGAAGTGGTTGGAATGTTTTCAGGTCCATGTGGACAGGGGGATTGGATTACAGCTGAACTGACAGCAGCAGTGTTTGGTTTGCAGAAGGCAATGGAGATGGGGGTGAGAAAAGTTATGGTTGAAGGGGATTCTAAAGTAGTTATTAGTTGGCTAAGAGAAAAAGAGCAAGCTCCATGGTTTTTAGAAAAGAATGCAAGATGATAAAAAGATTTACAGATGGTATGCAAGTGGTCTTTCAATGGATTCCAAGATCGGCTAACAACATTGCAGATCAGTTAGCAAAACAGGGGGTGTTCAAGGAAACTTGTTTCTGGGCTCGGATGTAATTATTAAAGTAAAGTTGGGTGCTTGTTTGTTTGTTCTGGTTTTCAGGGGTAACCGATGCTACCCTTGTTATATCTTTTGGCTTTAATCATTAATAAATTCTCTATTATTCATAAAAAAAACAAGGGCTATAGGATTTCTAAGTGAAACAAAAGCTAGTTGAGGTCTAGAGAGGTTATTGGGACTTGGAACAATAAATATGCAGTCTCTAATTTTATAAGAGAAATGTAAAAAGCCTAGAAACAGAAATAAAGAAGAAAGAGAAGACAGTGAGAGAATAAAGAAGAAATAAAGGAACTAGAGGGATAGATCTGCAAAGGAAAGAAGGTTGTGCCAAAAAGAAAAAAAAGAAAAGAAGAACAAAGTTTAAGACAAATGACAGATTCAACCAATATTAATCAAACATCAAGGAAAGAAGAAAGAGGAAAACAACGAGAGAATAAAGAAGAAATAATGGAAATTAGGGGATAGGGTCTGCAATTGGCAGAATGGTTGGGCCAAAATGAGTTAAGTTTAGGATAAATGGCAGATTCAACCAATATTAATCAAACATCAATAAAATACCAGTTGCAAGGATAAATAAGAGCCTAATGGAGTCACCACCATTATCTTTAGAGTCGGTCCCTATAGATGGAGTCAAACACCAAACCATAAAATTATAAGAACAATTCAACTTTCATTCGTTCATTCTCAAAGAGTCTTCACACTGAACACCAAATCTATTTGACATCTACAAGATAATTAAACAGTGAACCACTAATAAGAAAAATTAATTGAAATATTAGATCTAACAGGTTTTCACAATCTCTATCAAATTCTTGATTGATTTATTTGATTGGGCCCGACTTGAGCTGGCCAAAACTGCTAGAATTGGTCCAAGTTCATAGGCTCTCTTGGGTGTCTTGAATTGGGCTGCAAGTATGGGCTGTGAGGCCCATGATTTTAGGACTGGGCTTTCTCTTTAGCTATTTTCCACTCTACAAGTGTTGTTCCAATTTGTTTAACCTGAATAGCAAAAGTGAAAAATACCAATTCAAAAAAAAGCAAAAGCAAAAAATTAAATGTTTTTTGATTTGAAGGCAAAATCTTATTATTTTTCTGTGGGATGGGCAGTCTGGTATACTGACAGCTCCATACCTATCTAATGTTTGCTTTGAGGAAGAAACTGCATATTGTTAATGTATATATTGCATTATATATACTGTCATGTACGTACTTCTTTTTTGTATTGATATCATATCGATCACTTCCCTCCCCCTCCCCCTCCCCTGGTCCTTTTGATGATTTAAATGCTCCTGAATAGGTAATTTGTTAGCCCATGATTGTTTCGAGTCAATAGTCTGCATGGTTCAAGCATCTGAGCTTGTGATGCCATCAATTTAGGCTCTGTTCGGCATTGTTCCTGCCTATTTTTGTTCCTGAGGAAGTTCCCGTTCTAAAACAAGAATTTTGTTTCTTGTTCTTGAGGAATAATTGAGGCATTTGGCAATATTCTTCATGAACAGATTTCTATTCTATAGAAACAGAAATAATGTTTGGATAGAACTATTGATTCTTAAGATTAATTCTTCAAATCCATACCCACACGAATGATTGAGAATACCTAAGTTCTTATGATTAGAGAAAATGAATGAGAATACCTGAGCTCTCATTGCTGAAGAAACAAATGAAGAGAGAGATCATCGCCGGTAGGAAAAAAAACTGACAATCAACGTCTGGTACATGTGTTGGCCTACGAAATCCAATAATGGGTTGTTGCTGGAGAAGATACAACCAAAAAAAGAAAAAAGTGAGAGGTGGTGACAATCGTACCTGGTGATCGCTGCCGGAGAAGAACAGGGAGTTGAAAAGAAGCTCTCTCTGGTCTGCGTCTTGTGACAAACAAGTTAGGGCTGGAAAAAGATGATCGTTCGAACAAGCTAGGTCTTTAGAAAGCCAAACTTATGTTTTTTGTGATAGTCCCTGATCATTCAACAACAGATTGATAGAGGGCAAACCGACAAATGAACCACTTGACTGATGCTCTGACACAAAGCCAAAGAACCAAAATTATGTAAACACCTCTGGTTACACGTGAAGACGTCGTCATGCGTATTCATTAACTTGAAATGACGTTGTGGGAGTACCGTGTTTCTCATTTGGTGTTATTTCGTCATTTCTCTGGAATGCGGTTTTGGAGCTTGGTTTCCGAACAGGAATAGATTGTTATGGTTTTTGAACCAGATGTCTTCTTGTTTTGTGGGAATATTGGGAACGCGAGAAACATTCCCGTGGAGCGATGCCAAACGGGGCCTTACTAAATATTATTTGCTTTTTTGGATATGAATATATATTTGTCAATTTGCACTATACTTGATAGCTGAAACTTCTGGCATTTTGTTTCTGCCAGTATGGTGGAAATTTACAGATAATATAAGCAAAATAACATGTCGGTTGTGTTCTTTGTTGTTACATAGCAGTTTATGGCTTTATATTCCCTTCACTATAACCCTTAATTTTTATTGCTTTTTTTTAATACAAGTAACCCTTTTATTCATACTGTTTTATGGTTTTAAGTAAGCTACCATTGTTAACTATATCTTATGCATTTGTCTTAACATGTCGGTTGTGTTCTTTGTTGTTACATAGCAGTTTATGGCTTTATATTCCCTTCACTATAACCCTTAATTTTTATTGCTTTTTTTTAATACAAGTAACCCTTTTATTCATACTGTTTTATGGTTTTAAGTAAGCTACCATTGTTAACTATATCTTATGCATTTGTCTTAACCAATCTGCAGGTTACATTACACATGGATTGATATTGGGACGCCCAATATTTCCTTTATGGTGGCATTGGACACTGGGAGTGATCTTCTTTGGGTTCCATGTGATTGCATACAATGTGCTCCATTCCATGCTAGTTATTATAATGGTTTGGTATGTTTGTCTATAATCTACTGTTTGTTCTAATTAATCCATATAACGCATGGGGTTTTGCCTCTCTGCCTTTGGATGCCATCTGATTCTTTATTATATGATCTTTATATTTGTTGCTTATTTATTTATTCATTAATTTGATTATCAATGTTAAGCAGGGATTCTCTACCCCCTTGGCTGTTCCCAGGCAACCACAATCCTTGTTACCCTTTGTCTTTCTAGAGTATCTGCTGGGTTATTTGCCACTTTTGAAATCCATTTGAACAAGTTCAGATTAGCTCTGAGTGCCTTGGCCTCTCTATGAAAGTATTTGAGAGACCAGAGACCTTCTGTACCTGAGGAAAGCTATCGAATCACCACTTGACAGTCCTTTTTCACTGGCAGTCCATTTCACTCTGATGAAAGAACTTAGCCCTAGTGCCTGAAGTAGGGAAATTACTTTCACACTTGTTGATATTCCTTCCCCAGCTGTTCTTGAATAACTTGGTGGAATATTTCCATCATCATCTCAGTGTTTACCGCAGCAACCATCAAATTTGTCTTTATCTTCCCCTCCCTGGAGATAAGTTAGACAAGTGGCATGTTTCTGCTGTCTTATTTGAAGGATGAGTGGGAAAACTAGAAAAGACAGGGTCAGAAATGAAGTTATTTGAAGGAACACAGGAGTAACTCCAAAAGGGTGATAAAATGAGGGAAAGTAGACTAAGATGATTTGGTCAAGTGAAGAGAACACCAAGCACCAATAAGAAGCATAGTTGTCAAGGTGGTGGCTAGGTGCAAGGTGCCCATGGAGGGTTGCCTCAATTAAGTGCTTAGCTATTTTCTATATGGCACTATAAAAAAATTATATATATATATTTATATTTTTATTTTTTGAGATTATAATAGCAAATAGACCATACACTAAATTATTCATTTTGTGGGTTTAAATACTAGTTTCTTTTTGTTATTTTCTTGTTTGTTAGGGTTCAACCAACACACATGTTGGTGTATATTGTCTTGAACCCTTTAAGACACCAAAACCTGAACCAATAGGGAAGGAAGAGCTTAGAATTTGTCCAATCTATACATTCTTCTTTTTCTTTTGTTCTTTCTTCTTTTTCTTCCATCCTTTTCTTTTTCTTTTACTAGGACAAAAAACAGGGCCCCATATATTTTCTTAATTTTCTTTTTCTTTCTTCCTTTCCTTCTCATGAATATGTTGATTTTATATGATGGGTCCTAATTATAACATGATTTCAAGCACTTTGGGGGACAAGTCACCACTAAGGGTGATTTGAGGTGCTTGGCACTGTATCGTTCTTGTAAACATATCCAATTCTTTTTTCAAATCAATATAATTACCTGTTACCAATGAAAAATATATGCTGATTTTCTATGTTTTAATATGATATTTCTACTTACTAGTGAAAGATGCTTGCTTTAGAACCTAGGGAATTTCCCTAGGTTTCCAGGTCTTTATTTTATAGAAAACCATTACCTAGGCACCTAGGTTACAAGGTGCACCCTATTGCCTAGCCTTGCTTTGTTGCCTTGAAAACTATGGTAAGAAGAATTATTCTGTTACACGTTGAAGGGGCTAGTAGAGCTAGGGACATACCAAAATAATACATGATTTGAATTAGTAAGAAATGATTTAGAGGTTCAAAATTAACAATCGATATGGCACTGAACAGAACTAGAGGCCGGTGCTTGGTGTAATGGTAAAATCTCAGGCTGGTAAGTGTAAGAGCATGCTTTAGTCTGAGAGTGGCCACTTTGTGCAAAAATATGCCAAAGGTTAGGACCATATCCATTCTACCCCTCCCAAGACCCCAGTCTGTTCATTTTATTAATGAAGTTCAGAATTGAGACTTGCATGCTGCAACATACCGAGTATGTTTTGTTAATTCTTTAGTAACAAATCAGGCTGGGTAATTTCTGATATGATGACCTGAAAAGGAACTGACTAATTCTTGACTTCTTTGAAGTGCTGGAATGATCTGGATCAGATCAGGTTTATGTTGTGGATATGTTGTATGAACTCTTCCAAATGGGCAACATGTCAGTTTTGTACACGCATTGGAGTCCAGAACTCCATGGAATCTTGAGGACATTTCTATGGAACATTTCCTTTTTTTTTTATATCAAATGTTACTTGGTATCAAGGACAACATATTAGATTCTCTATTTTGTAGGTATGCAATGTTAAAATTCAAAAATGATGAACTATTTTAATGCTATATATTTTTCCATAGGCATGTCCATGAGTCCATGTTTTTCATCTTGCTAAATCAGACTCTTGGACATGGATCAGCTTCCAATTCTCACATCCATGTCCATTTAACACTGGTTGAGAATGCTGGTCCAAATCACATTTTGTCAAAATGCATATGGATATTTAGAGTAGTAACTTTAAACAAGCCAATTCATTGATTGACATAGAACACTTGGAATGGATATAAAATGACAGGTGCTGTCAGATCACATTTTGTCAGTCTTTTTGTCTTTATATGCTGGATACATTTTTATAGCACCAACCAAAGAAAATGCATATGAATATTGTAACTTGCTCTTGCTTTTATTTTTTATTCATTCTCACTTTCCAAAAACATTCTCGTCAATGAAAATGCAATTTGTATTGGAAAGCATGAAAGATGATTCCTAAAGGCATATCCAAGTGCTCTTTCAGGTTTTATTTTAATTTCTTCTTTCAGAATACACACTTGACATAGCTAACTTACTAATTCATTTATTTGAATGACATGCTGTAGTTTTTCTCCTAAGACTTGGTAACAGGTTTAGCACTTATTCCAAATGATTGATTGGCAGGTGCTCCCTGGTATTTGGGGCATCTATTATGCAGGATAAAGATCTTAGCGAGTATAATCCATCTGGATCAAGCACCAGCAAGCATGTGAATTGCAGCCATGAGTTGTGTGAATTGGGTCTGAACTGCAAAAGTCCCAAACAACCCTGCCCATACATTGTTAACTACTATTCGGAAAATACATCAAGCTCTGGATTGCTGGTTCAGGACACATTACACTTGGCGTCAAGCAGTGACCATATGTCCCAAAATGTGGTGCAGGTTCCAGTAATTATGGGGTGTGTTCTGTTGCCATCTTCCATTATTCAAGTTCTGTCTTGCTATTGATAACCTTGGCAATGATCTTAAGTACTCATCCCCAATTTTATGGGGATTTTTATTTGTTTTTAATGCAGTTGTGGTAGGAAACAGAGTGGTCGTTGTCTGGATGGAATAGCTCCTGATGGTGTTATGGGTTTGGGACTTGGAGACATATCCATTCCAAGTTTCATTGCAAAAACTGGATTAATTCGGAATTCTTTCTCAATTTGTTTTGGCGATGATGATTCAGGGAGAATTTTCTTTGGTGACCAAGGTTTTGCTACACAACAGTCTACTCCCTTCTTGCCACTGGAAGGAAAATAGTATGTCTAATTTCATTTAGAAACTTTCTTTTTGTGGATTGTTGGTTTTCCCTTTTTTGTCTACCTTAGCTAGTCTTTGGGCTCTTGGGTACTGTTATATCTTTGTGTTTTCGGTAATTAGTGGGTGATTTGGTTCAGTATTACATACATTGTTGGAGTCGAAGGTTGTTGTATTGGAAACTCTTGTCTCCACCAAACAGGCTTCCAAGCACAGATTGATAGTGGGTCATCCTTCACATTTCTCCCAGATGAGGTTTATCAAAAAGTCGTCACTGAGGTTATTTTTGCCTTAAACTCTTACTGTGCTTTTCTTTTTCTTTCTATTTTTTTCCTTTATATCTTAAAATGGTTACTTCTCCTGATAATAGTTTGACAGGCAAGTTAATGCAACAAGGTCATATAAAGGCTCCCTCTTGGACTACTGCTATGAGCCCAGGTACATTTGTGACTTAGGTGTAGAATTTTTGAATCTTTCTTCAATATCCTGGTTCTGATTGTCTGCTATTTTCTTCCATATTCTTTTTCTGATTGTTAGCTGTTCTTGTGATAGCACTTCACAGGGTTTGCTCAATATTCCTGCTGTGATTCTCATGTTTGCTCCAAACAACAGCTTTGTGGTCCACAATCCCACTATATTCATTTATGCCAATCAGGTATATGATCTAATGATTGATCTTTCTTCACCTAAGTGGCTGAATCCAAAGCATATGGATTTATTGATCCTTAATATTTTTTGCATTAAAGTTTGAGAAGGAATAAGAAAACATTACTGGCTTACACAGAAAATTGTTATAATTAATTGATTATTGTTCTGAACTTGGGAGTAACATGGTTAGTTTAGTTTAATTGAAACTCCTGCATGTTACCCTTTGGACCCATGTGATTTTGTCTCTAAAAGTGTCAGTAGTTTCTTTAATCTCTTAGTTCATTGTCCTATGCCTTTGATTTTCTTCTTTCTTTTGTTTTTTGCCATGATCAAGATCATCTAAGCCTTGCTCCAAGTATGTACAGTTGTCCCAACTATTGCTTAACTTTTGGGATTTAAAAAAATGTTTGAGGGGTGGGGTGGTCCTCTTGGTCCCTCTCCCCATCAAGCAGTCAAGTTAAAACTTAATGTTTGTGCCATTTATCAGCCACAGGTTTGGAATAAACTTCTTTGGTCTCTGGTATTTTTTAATATTCATTTTTCTTACTTCACTTTTTCTTTTGGATTAATAACAGATCAATAGGAATTTATTAAGCGATGAAAGGAATACAAGGGTAAAAGCACCAATGACAGGAAACTTGAGTTGCTAGTATAATGCCATATTGCTATATCCCATCATCAATTGAAACTCACAGCACTCTTTCAAGTGATAGACCTTAGTCTTCACCTCCATAGTTGGCTTGGCTCCCAACACAATTCTCCCCTAAAGAACCCTTGTCTAGCGAGTCTGCTGGTGCATTAGTTAACAGTTATTGGACCCAGATGAGTGAAATCACTCGTGCATGAGGGCAGAACTTCCCTCATGTTGTAATATGATTTCCATGGGCCTTCCCAACCATCAAGCATTTATCCTACCACCACTTCAGTCTTTTTCAACTGCTAGTTGGGTGTATCTAAAAGGAGGTGCCAATTGCAACCTTTGAAAAAAGTAACTAAGCTTCAACTTCAACAGTATCTTCTTTGCCTCTACACCCTGAGTAAACCTCTAGTCTAAAGGGTATTTTCCTTAAAATATATTTTGCCTTTTCAAAAAAGTGATGGGAAAAATGAGAACAGTGGAGGTAATTTTTAGGACCACGGAATGACAAAGGAAAAGATGTTGATAACAATGATTTGTTCACATATTTATCTGTTGAATATGTTAGTGTAACCGCATAAACTTTGTTTTCAATGCACAACATTTCCAGTGATATATTGCAGCAATTGCTTCTCAGTGTCCTAAGTGTATGGGCATAGAATTACTCTCAATGTTCCAAAGCTTTAGTTGAGTGTGTAATGGTTTTTAATATCAGAAGTTTGTTTAAATTACATGGACTTTATTGTGCAGGATGTTGTTGGTTTTTGTTTAGCTATACAACGAACAGAAGGAAATTTTGGGGTTATAGGACGTAAGTTGAAATCTCTTCCTGGGGAATCATTAATGTTCTTTCTTTACTGTGTTGTCAATTTCCCTCTTTTCCCTTATTTTTTACTGTTTTTTGAATAAAAATCTTCTAATGCAGAGAACTTCATGACGGGTTATCGCTTGGTGTTTGATAGAGAGAATTTGAAGCTTGGTTGGTCACGTTCCAATTGTGAGTACTCAGACTTCTACATGTTTTTAAAATGTTAAGCTAAAATAAATGGTCTCTATCATTTCTTTTTTTTTGGTTTTAAAAATGGTCTCTATCATTGATTCAAAAGAAAAGGGTCTCCATCTTATATGCTGTAAAGAACTAGGAGTGGCAAGGCAGTAAATATTTGCATGTAGTTCTCTCTCCCACTCCTTTTTTACTCTATAGGTGTTGTGGTGGTGTTAATAGTGAATTTTAAGTCACATATGCTGATGGATAAATAATTGATGCTTGCCTGCTAGTGACGAAGTGGTAGATTACCTGCTACCACTTAAATTTAAACATCTTAGTTGAAAGATGAGTTGTGTATTTTACAAATTTGAACTTCATAATAAATGAAAATTATCATTTTTTTCCCTTTTACTGACAGTAATTGGTTTATGAGGAGTTGATCATAACTCATGATTCTTGAGTGCCATAAGGCCCCCGTTTTGAATTATTGTGTATATGTGGTTAAGGCTGCATACATTTGTCCCTCCCGAGACCCTGCATTGGTAGGGATGGCAATTTTCCTTGTAAAATTGGGGCCCCACCCCACCCTGCCCTGAATGGGGTGGGTTTTCCCCAATCTTAAATGGGGACAGGGAACATATTTTTGCTTTGAACCAGGGATGGGGGCGGGGACGGGGTTTGCATATAATTCCTTGAACCCACCCTGAACCCGATGGATGGTAAATTAGTAAAATAGCCCTAGGTTTAGTATTATTTTTTAAAATATCTCTAAGTTTTCCCCAAATTCCTAAAATCCTAGGATCCCATAATTCCATTTCTAAAATACCTCCAAATTGTCATAATCCAATTCCTATAATAGCCCCAAATTCCCATAATTCTATTTCTAAAATATCTTGAAATTAAATGTATTTTTAGGTGGTTATTTCGGGGTGGGGAAATTTGGGGATTCTCGGTCCCCAATGGGGGTGGATGCCTTGCCCCAAACCCACCCAATTGCCATTCATGCACATTGGTGGCGGAAGCCTCGTGCATTGGGCTGCCCTTTATGTGGTAAAGTAGGGATGGCAATTTTCCCCATCCCCGCTAGGTACCCGGCCTCCCCGACCCAATGGAGTCAGGGATGGTGATGGGGATTAATAGGGATCCTTGTTTAGGGACGGCAATGGGGATGGGATTGAAGTCCCCAGCCCCGCCCTGCCTCGACCCCAATTATATATATTAATTATTGTTTACATTAAATATATATTATAACATTATTTATAACATTATCTATATTATATATGTATCGAAATATATTTAAAATATTATTTAGGGTAAATCTCTTAAACTACTCCTACTGTTCACGTAATTGACATGTGGTACCCTTACTGTTTATCTATTGTCTTGCGGTACCCTTAAATTTTCTGACAAGTGTCATCGTTGTTAAGTGCTAACGGAAGGAAACGAAATGTTGAATTTGCCCTTTATTATTTATCAAATTTTCAAAATAAAACCCAACTAATAAAAACCCCTGGTTTCCAAGTTTTTTCAAAGCTTTACTTGATACCATCACCGGGGCTATCTAACAAGGCCCCGGTTTTCTGTTGGAAGTTGCAGCGGTCCCGGTATATGCCTAATCCAAACCAATTTTTTAATCAAATAGCAGCTTTCACATTCGTCCTCTCTCTCTCTCTCTCTCCGTGAAAAACTTCTACCCTTGTATTGTCTGTTGCTGATTTTCAACATACCCAGCATCCTTGTTCTGTATCAGAAGTCAATATTAATAACGCTTTTTACTGATAAAGTTTGCTGCAAGATCAATAGTGAACGAGGTGCCTCTTATTTACCTCCACATTACTGTTAGAATCGATTAATCTCTCCGCAACAAGAGAAAGCAATTTTTGTAGACACTTAAGATGTATTGACACTCAAATTCAAGTTGTTTTTCAAAAGAACATTACCTATTATACAGGAATAGTTTTTCATTAAAAACAGAAGACAAATTTGAAAAAACAGACGAAAACGAATTGATGAAATAAATAAAATATCATTCTGTTAGAATCATATCATCTAGTAAAAAAAAGCATTGGTGTCAAGTGTTGGGAGGACACTGAAGGAGTCAGATTGTTGAGAAGATGGTGAGGAGTCAGATTTCTTCTTTTTCTGTGTGTAAAAGTGTTGGGAGGACACTGAAGGGAAGAGATCCAACAAAGTAAGGAACACTATTCTCACCAGAACTAGTGTCTTAGAATAGCCATCTTCCCACAGAAGCAGGGGAAAGATGAAAGTGATGCACCAAGAGGATTTTCAGAGGAGATGGAGTGGACTTGGGGGGTTTTCTGAAGAGAGATGAATTACAGAAGTTCTTGATCGACCAAGCTGCTGTGCCTGAGAGTACCCACAGAAACAAGAACGGCACGGAGGAGATGCCAATGACCGAAGAGAATGAATCTGAAGTGGTAACCTGAAGCAGAGACAACTCTTGTCTGAAGCGGTAACATGAAGAGAACGAATCTGAAGCGGTAACCTGTAGCTGTAAATGTCAACTCTTGTCTTCTTGTAGAAAAAAGGACAAATTTGTTTCAATCTCCAAAACTCGGTCTCTACGGCAAGCAACCATCTCGACCAAGAAAGCACCTTACAACGCTTTGCTAACGGTTTCAAACTGCAACCTCAGTCTCCACAGCAAGCTGCAGTTGAGAGTAACTGTATGGAATTCAATACCGGTGACTGCCCACAACCAAGGGGGATCGTTCTCGGTGAAAATTCAACAGTGGTATGGAATTCAATAACGGTGACGGCCCGCAATCGCCTTACCCCTGTTTATTGTGAGCATGGCTTGGCTGCAAGATGAAATGATTTCGAGGAATGGCTCCTTCAGTGGGTCTCCGACGGGGAAGCAGACTGACCTGAAGAAGATCATGATTCATGATACTCAGTGTTGTACCCATTGTTATCAGTCAAGCCTACGAGTTCGACTACTCCGGCACCCGGGCATGCAAGGCTCTCAAGGAAGAAGGATACAAAATGATTCTCATCAACTCCAACCCGGCTACAATCATGACCGATCCTGACATGGCAGATAAGACCTTGTCCCTTGACATGGTGGTGTTTCGTCATCCGGGAGGTGGCCGTGGTGTTCTGTGGTCACTGCAATTGTCATTGGTGATGATGTTTTAACAGCGGGGTGAACAATAAGGGTATTTTAGGAATTTTAAAATAATTAACACACGTGATGTCACATGTGAATGGAGTGTGGCGAAAAATTAACGGCGCAAGGGAGGTGTTAGACAATTGTCAGAAAACTTAAGGGTACCGCAAGACAATAGCTAAACAATACGGGTACCGCGTGTCAATTACGTGAAAAGTAGGTGTAGTTTAAGAGATTTACCCTATTATTTATAGTTTAAAATTTTCCTTTATTTTAACTTTTTAAGTAAATCTATTTTCCAAAAAAATATTTTTGATTAAAAATTTTTGAGGATTTGGGTCCCCACAGGGAACTCGTCTCTGCCAGGGATTGGGGATGGAGGGTAGCTTTTATCACTGATTCACTGGAAGGGGTCGTGGTTGGGGATGGGGATGGGGATTTGTTTCAAAGTCAGGGTCGGGGGTGGGAATATGGGCCCTAGTCCCCACCCCAAACCCGCCCTGTTGCCATTGTGAGTAAAGCTATAGACTTGCTTGTGTTTTAGGTTAGGTAAAGAGCATATTCCTGTGTCTTATTTAGTGAATTGGTGTTAGGATTTGGGATGGAAGAAGCATATTCTCGTGTCTTATTTGAAGTTGCGATTTGGGATGGAAGTAGAAGAATGAACTTTTGTGATTCAAAGTTCCTCTTGCGTTTATGTTATATGGACTGGAGTATGCAGGGGGGAAAGATGTGTATTAGCTCAAAATCCATGGGAGTCACAACCTGCTACTTACATTCACAGGAATGTGTTACAATGGATTAATGGAATCAATGAAGGGACTCTTCTCTCCTATCAAGCCTGGCATTCAGTGATTTTCCTATCAAGATTTATTTCTTGTTGCCCTGTGCTAGATTAGTTTTGTAGATGAATTGGTGCTCAATGGGTATCAATGTGCCCCATTTTATGATTGGTTTGTACCATGTGTCTAAGGTGTAGCCCATCTTTGAAATCATGTTGCATGCTTTGTTCATTCTCTACCCCTCACCCCTTTCTCTGCCACTTACACATCTTTTTTTATTTTATTTTTTCTGTTTTAAGGGAGGTGTAAGCATGGAAATGAGCCAATTGACATTACATCTTTTAGGGGTGAGCTCTACTTGTGTTTTTTGGTCTGCCCATCCATTTTGTATGGGAAGTGAGCGTGATTCACAATTAGATAGAAAGATATAAACTGAGTTTTTTAGATTATAATGACTTTATTAATGAAACCTTGCCAAAAATTAGATTCTTCAGCTAGGAAACTGCATTTATGAGAAGAGGAGTTCAGGAACTCTCTCTAGCAAGGTCACCTTTTCTTTTCAATTCTTTTTTAGAGTCATTTATATCCAAGGTTGGATCCAACAATCTCTGCTATTTGTGAGTTCTTTCATCTGTTTGAAGTTGATTGAGTTTGCCCTTCTTCAGTCGGGTCCTAGCCTGGCCTGCGTTTCTACAAGGAGATAGAGGAATTATTTATGGAATGACATTTTTGCTATTTGTTGAAGTCATAGTTGTCAAGGTGACGCCTAGCGACAAAGCAGCCTTTGAGGCTCACCTCGCCTAATTGCCAAGCAGTTTTTTACTTCCTACTATAAAATACTTCTTTGTTCATTCTTGTTTTGAGAATATAATTATAAAATAGACATTGTTAAACTAAAATAATCATTTGTGTGTTTATATACTAATTTCTTTTTATTGTTTTCTTATTTATTAGGGTTTAATCAACACAAACATTGCTAAATGTTGTATTGAACCCTCAAAGACTTAAAACCTGAACCAATAAGGAAGAACTTAAATTTTATCTAGTCAGCACATTTTATTCGTCCATATATTCTTCTACTTCTTCTTCTTCTACTA